AGTTGCTAATTGGTCAATCTCCATATCGGTGGTTAGAAAAAGATGCTAGCCGCCCTCGAGGGAAAGTTGCTAGTGGGAGACGTCGTTCGTTGCAAAATAGATCTGCCCTATCTTTCCGTTGCTGGGACAAAGATTGTTTATCTGTTTAAAGGACTTTAGTCAACTAAATTTTAAGATTTATAACGGGCCCTCTGACAAGCTGAACATGTACTGTGGAGATGCGTCAGAATCTAGTAACCATCATACTCGAAGAATAGGGTCTGCGTATGGCGAGCCACGGAACAGAAACCGTTGGAATGTTTACTGTCGCATGCCGCTACAAATATTTCTTTTAAGGAGAACTATAGAATCACTCCATACCTTTGTTAGTTGTCGCCTCGAGCCCAAGCTCATTATCACAAATCTCGAACAAATACAATCGGATCGAATGACGACAATTGTTTAATTACACCTATTATAGAATCTAGATTACGGTATTAAGAGATTTTCCCGAAGTTCCAAAGGGAAAGCTCCGATGTCCTTTCATCTCCGACATTCGAAATGTTTCTTTTGTAAGAAAGCCGGGCACATGAAGAAGGATTGCCGTAATTACGTCACATGGAGAACAAAGAAAGATAAAGTGAATAAGATGATGAAATAAACGTCTGATGAAGAACAGCAAGCTTTGGTGAGTACAGAACATAAGGCATCTGAGAAAATTTCCCAAGATGTTTCCCAAGATGTATGGATTATTGAATGAAAACAATGAAAACTGTCAACATACCTGGCATAAGCGTTTCGGGCATAGAAACATAGATGTGATAAAGCAATTAGAAAACGGCCTTGCAACCGGGATAAAGATAAAGGACTGCGAAAGAAGAGAAATTTACGAGTGCTGTATAAAAGGAAAAATGGCGAAAAAACCTTTTCCTAAAGAATCAACGACGAGGACGAGTAGTATTCTGGATCTCATACATACAGATGTTTGTGGCCCAATGCAGACTGCAACTCCAGGTAAGAAGAGGTATGTTTTAATTATAATTGATGGTTTCAGTAGTTTTACTAGAATATATCTGATTGAAACAAAACATAAACCACGAAATATATTAAAGAATTTGTACAATCAATGAAAAATCAA